TGCAGGGTCCTGGCTGGAGGGTCTTGCCCCTGCGCTCAGACTCAGACCGACGCTGCATTGGGGCAGGAGGGGATTTCCCCCCTGGCTCAGACTGGTCCAGACTGAGGGGTTTTACCTTTCTCTGCAGCGGGGGCATGGCCTCGGCCTGGACTCTCTGCAGCATCCATGACTCCCTCTGGTAGCATCAGGGCATTGGCAGCCACGACCCTCCTGTCTCGTGGGGGCAGGGGACAATGCCTGGGGCTGTCAGGGTTGACCGTAGTTTTACATAGTTTGGATTATGGTTTGTCTGGGCTGGTTTGCACAGGGCTGATCCTGCCCCAGGCAGGGGTTGGACTAGATGTGACCTCCACAGGTCCCTGCCAGCCTCACTGCTCCAGGAGGTGATGATTCAGGTGGTTCTGCCTAGTATGGGAACACCTGGTATCTAATTCTGCTGCCCCAGGTATCTGTCACTGCTCTGAGCACTGTGGGTGCTCTGACAAGTGATGCAGGTATTTCACATCGTCTGCTGAGATATAACTTTGCCACCTGCACCTGTAGCTTCTCTGTGAGGCTTTGCAGCCTTCTCTCCACCTCCTGCAGCTCCTCATGCTTTCTGGCAGGTCCCAGGACCTGGACAGGGACAACGAGCTTTCTCTGAGCCGGCACTGCTGAGATGGGAAGTTAGTTTTGGATTCGGAGACCAGCAGTATCCTCAAGCTAGGGAAGGGGCTTGGAAAGCAGCGCTGTTGTGAGGAAGGAGAGTGGCTCTGGCACCAGCCACCTCTGCCTCCTGCAGTTCCTCTCTTGTTCTTCAGGTTGCCGATAGGTAAAAATGCCTCTGCTTATGCTACACTTCTCCACAGATCCAGCCCCAGTGGGCAGCCGTCTAAAACCCTGTCTTCTCTTGTGGCAGGATGGCAGCCTGGAGAGGAGCATCAGCAAGAACATGGGGAGCAGGCGGCAACCTCCCAAAGCCCAGTTGGGATCAGTCCTGCCCCCTGCTTTGCTAGCTGTTCAGTGGTGAGGGCTACTGCCCTTGGGCATGCTGGATTTGGGAGAGGCCTACTTGTTGGGTACTGGGGACATTCGGCATAGGTGGTGCTGGGTCTAGGGCTTGAGGAGAGCTATGGTGTTCAGGACGGGTAATCTAGCGCCTTCTTAAATGCATGGAGCCGCTAGACTTTGTGCTGTTCTGCCAGGGCTTGTGCGGAGGGTATCAGAATCCATCTCTTCAGCTGGCGAAACCCACGGGCTTTCCCATCCTTTCCAGGTGTGAGGTCTCCTCCTCATCTTGTTTAGGTCTTCATATGATGGGTCTCTTCATTGCTGGAGAAAATCAAGGAGAGGCTGGACAGCCACTGGTGGGGGATGATTTAGGCGCAGCGATGCCTGTGTTGTACTGGGGGATTTTCTGAGCTTTGCTGGTTGCTCATCCCCCCCTTTTACATGTATCAGGGGGTTTTGAAGCCTCCCCCAGAGGCTCTGGGTGCTGGCCGCCTGGGGGTGGGACCAGGCTGTGCCAGTGCTCCTGCTGGCACCAACCCCACAGGGTCCTGGCTGGAGGGTCTTGCCCCTGTGCTTGGGCTCAACCCCACGCTGCACTGGGGCAGGAAGGGATTTCTCCTCTGCTCAGACTGGTCCAGACTGGGGGGTTTGCTTTCCTGTCTAGCAGAAGGCACGGCCTCTGCCTGGGATCTCTCAAGTATATGGAACTTTTATAGAAGCAAGACATTGGCTGCTATGGTCCCCCTGCTTTCCGTGCAGCAGGTTCAGGTGATATCTTGTGTTGTGTCAGGGTTGACTAATTTTTTACTGAGTTTGGACAATGGGTTTTTCTGGGCTGGTTTGGACAGGGCTGATCTTGTCTCAGGCAGTGGTTGGACTAGATGTGACCTCTGGAGGTCCCTTCTTGCCACACTTCTCTAGCATTCTTCCCTCCCTCTGAAGGTTCAGGACCACTGTGGCTGGATCTGGGATTTTGGAAAGCAGGGTGCAGGTGGTGCGATACATCATTGCACAGAACACCTATTTAAAGAGAAGCTAGAAGTCTTGCTAATATGCTAGGGGCCCAGCACTATATTATTCAGTTTAAGATCAAATTGAAACCAAATATAACTATTGGGATGTGCACTCATTGCTAGGTTATATTTTAAGTGTAACATGACTTCACCTGGCCACTGGCTTGTGCTCAGGGAGCTATCCAAGTCGGCACAAAATGGACCGACGCCAGCTTGCAAAGTGAGTGGAAATTGCTGGGATTTCCAGCAGAATGGCTGCCTCTTCATGCTTCATGCCTCCCAGTGGTATGGGAAAGCAGGGAAGAGAAGTGACC